TATAAGGCTGTGCTCTAAACAACTGAGCTAAACAGCCAGCGCCTGTTGTCTTCCTTAGAGTACTTATCACATTTTGTATTTTATTTGCTTTTGTCAATCTCCCCCATTAGACTATTACATCATGTAAGTTTTGCTCCCTACATATTCCCAGGGTCAAGTACAGTGACAGCAAACATGCTCAGTAATATCTATTGAGGGGCTGGATGATTAGTTCAATTGGTTAGGGTGTGGTGCTGATAACACCAAATTCCAGGGTTCAATTCCTGTACCGGCCAGCTGACTCTGAATTCTCAGTGTTGGCTGATGTAAAAGGTGACTCTCGTGTGATGTCAGACTCACTAAATGCACAATTTGGGAGAAGAGAAGACAGAAAAATTATTATATTTCCTCAAGTTTCTGCAGCATTAACTACTTAGCAACTTATCAACTGATAAGCACATGGACAAATATATCTGCAGAGGCAAAAATAAATGAAGAACTTGAAATTCAAGCATTATGGAAAAGTCTACCTAATTCCTATAGAAGTGATGGCAGCCCTTCCAAATCTAGTCATAGTCTACAATGAATACTTTAACATTCCACTTATAACATATACTCTTGACAAGTACAAGTATTTCAGAAATGTTCACTGTAGTATCTGAACTTGTATGGTACTTTTACACATATTAATTTCATTTTATCCTCACAACAATCTAGTGATGTAGAACTCAATTTTAAAAAAAAAGAATCTGAGGTTTAGTTCCAGGTTTTAAAACTAGGTTTCATGACTTTATAGTTTTTCTTTTTTTCGTGACCGGCAACGGATCGCAACCCTCAGTGTCGCGCCTGTACCAGACCAGGACCGGCAACGGGATCGCAACCCTTGGTGTTGCGCCCACACCTTGCTCAGTCAGTGAGCGGCCGGTCTGTATGTGGGATCCGAACCCTCGGCGGGAGCGCCACCTCGCTCCCAAGCGGCGCACTGTAGCAGTGCACCACTGGGCCGGCCCCGACTTTATAGTTTTTCAATGATAATAAATTGCTTCTCAGAACCTTCTTTGAAGTTAGTCTCCTCTGTTTTATTTCATAAAATAATAACTGCAACTTATATTTACTCAGTATTTACCATAGGCCAAGAATTGTGTCCAGCTTTACACACTTTATCTCATTTATATTCACAACACTCTATAAGAGATAGTATTATCAGGTAAGTGACATGTCCAATGTTACCAGCTAATAAGTGGCAGGACCAGGCCTAAAAATCAAATGTCAGATTGCTCCTAAATCCACGTTCTTTTTTTCTTTTTGGTGGCTGGCCAGTATGGGGATCCAAACCCTTAACCTTGGTGTTATAACACTACACCGTAACCACCTGAGCTAACCCACCAGCCCTGAATCCATGTTCTTAATTACTTCACAATACTACTGCTCAAAGATTATGAAAATAAGTACATATTGCCATTAGCTGTTCCAGAATGAAAATCGAATGGTACTAAAAACATGTGATAAAAATTCTTACTTTGTTTCATTAGCACAAGGCTTGATACCAATCCTAAAGCAAAAACAAAACCTTTGCCATTAGCAAGAGCAATAAGCAAACAAGTATACTTTGTATTATTACCTTTGGGAACTTGTATCTTTTTCATGGCTATCACAGGTAGAGGAAATTTCACAAATCTTCTCTGGAAGTGGATGATGATTAAGAGCATGTTTTGTTATTCCTTTCCTGTGAAAGATTAAAAAATAAAAAAGTTATATTTCTTTTTTTTTCTTTAATTTTTTTAAAAAGTTATATTTCTTGTAAAGAAAAAAATACATACTTTTCAGTAACTTGATCTAGAAGTTAGTCAACTACTTCCTGCTGCTCTGGAACTGCAATCTCCAATACAGTAACCACTAACCACTAGGAGTTAATATGTGGCTAGCCAGAATTGATTGTGTTTATAAGTGTAAAACGCACTGGATTTTGAAGTCTTAGTATGAAGAATGTGCACTATCTCATCAATTATATATATATATATTTTTTTTTTTTTTCCTTTTTGTCTTTTTTCGTGTCCGGCAATG